CGGCGGCGGAGCGGCGGCGGCCATTTTCCCGCAGCCATCTTGGAAACCGGTAGATCTCCACGGGAATGAGATTTTAGGCCGAGGTCAAGCTCTTCACGCCCCGGTGAAGTTAGGCGCGGCTCCCGACGGCAAACGCTTCGGTTGTTTGTGCGGGAAACGCTTCGCGGTGAAGCCCAAGAGGGATCGGCACATCATGTTGACGTTCAGCCTGCGGCCCTTCGCCTGCGCCGCCTGCCACAAGCGCTTCAAGCTGAAGCACCACCTGACGGAGCACATGAAGACCCACGACGGGGCGGCGCGGGCCTGCGAGCGCTGTGGGCGCCGCTTCCGCCTCCGCAGCGGATTGGCCAAACATCGGCCGCTCTGTCAGGGGGCGCGGTGGGGAGGGGGGTGTTGGGCCTGCGAGTGATGGCGGAGGGGAAAGCCGGGCCTGGGGCTGGAGGGGGAGAGGGTTAAGGTCTGGCTCAAGGGAGGTTGGGGGCTTTAAGGAAGGCGTTGGGTTGTGTGGAGGGATCTGGGCTCAGCTCAAAGGTCTGCCCCAGCTCCAGGCTTTAGACCCAGCTCAGGGCTCTAGGCCCAGCTCACCTCCTGGCCCAGTTCAGGGCTCCAGGCCCAGCTCACCTCCTGGCCCAGTTCAGGCCTCTAGGCGCAGCTCAGGCCCTAAGCCAAGCTCACCTCCTGGCCCAGTTCAGGCCTCTAGGCCCAGCTCAGGCCCTAGGCCAAGCTCAACTCCTGGCCCAGTTCAGGCCTCTAGGCCCAGCTCAGGCCCTAGGCCAAGCTCACCTCCTGGCCCAGTTCAGGCCTCTAGGCCCAGCTCAGGCCCTAGGCCAAGCTCACCTCCTGGCCCAGTTCAGGGCTTTAGCCCAGTTTAGGGCTCTAGGCCCAGCTCAGGCCCTAGGCCAAGCTCACTTCCTGGCCCAGTTCAGGGCTCTGGGCCCAGCTCAGCTCCCAGCCCAATTCAGGATCTGGCCCGCTTTAGGGGTCTGCCCCAGTTTAGGGCTCTGGGACCAGTTGAGGCCCCATACTGGTGTAAGGCCACAGCCCCGGCCCAGCTCGGGGATCTCTCCCAGTTTGGGGCCGGTTCCCAGTTAAGGGCATCCCCAGTTCAGGTGCCCCTCCCCACCATCTTACTTCCGCTCCCCCACCGGCCAATCAGCGCACGTAAAGCAGGAGCGCAGTAGCCAATAGCAGAGCGCGGGGGCGGGCCGAGTGTTGCCATGGGGACTGCGCTGCCGGGTCGCTATGGCAACGGGAGCCGGTGCGGGTCCCCCCCGGGTCCTTCTGCCCGCCTGCAGCCACCCCCGGGACCCCAATGTCCCCACCAGGGGACACCCTTGTCCCCTCCTGGGGACCCCCCTGTCCCCATGGGGGGGCCCAAGTGTCCCCCCAGGGCCCTCCCAATCCTTCTTGGATACCCCCCCCAAGTTCTGCAGGGACACTCGTGTCCCCAAGTGCCACCCCAACGGGACACGGTGCCACTGGTGATGTCACCCCATGAGCTTTAATGGGCTGAAACGGTGCGAAAATGGGGCAAAGCTGTAAAAAAAAAATAAAAATAAATAAAAGTGTTGGGTCACCAGGATGGAGAGAACCAGTAAGTGACTGGGCCAAACTGGGATGGTGCTGCCACACGGGAGGTGAAACGGGGGTCCCACCAGTGCCAAACTGGGATGATGCTGTCACCTATAGGCTGACGTGGGGTCCCACCAGTGCCAAACTGGGGTGGCATGGTCATCTACTGGGTGACACATAGGGCTGTGGCTCCCACCAGTGCCAAACTGGGATGATGCTGTCACCTACAGGGTGATGTGGGGTCTCACCAGTGCCAAACTGGGGTGGGACTGTCACCTGTGGGGTGATGTGGGGTCCCACCAGTGCCAAACTCGGATGATGCTGTCACCTTTGGGTGACGTGGAGGTCCCACCAGTGCCAAACTGGGATGGCATGGTCATCTACTGGGTGACACACAGGGCTGTGGCTCCCACCAGTGCCAAAGTGGGATGATGCTGTCACCTATAACGTGACGTGGGGGTCCCACCAGTGCCAAACTGGTCCCCATTCCTGGACCCACCCTACCACCACCCACACCAAAGTGGGGTGCGCGTGGCGGGGGGCACCCATCGCCCCATCGGTGGGTTCTGGGCGCGTTGGGTGTCCGTGTCCCTGTTACGGTGGCGGTCACCAGCCGGGACGTGACGATGGATTCACGGGGTGGTTCCCTGATCACCCATCAACCTCTCCATGAGGGTTCCCCCGCCGAAGGGTTGTTTTTTTTTTTTTTTTTTTTTTTTTTTTTTTTTGGGGGGGGGTCGTTCTCCACATCTCCCGGGGTGGTGACACCTCAGCGGGTGTTACCGGAGCTCCCGGGGACACTCGCTGCACTTTTTAGGTGGATTCTTTCCATCGGATGAAGGTTCAGCGATGGGTTTGTGCTCATCCAACTCAACGCTTCCTGCGGAAGAAGAAAACCAAGGTTTTAGGTCGTGTTTCCCGTATTTCTTTCCCTCAAAAGTTTTATTTTTCCCCACCCGGGGGTTGTCTCGAGGACTCAACCTCGGCACCGGACCTCCCGTAGGGCTGCGCTGTGCCTCCAACCCTTGCGGGTCCATCCCGGGTTTGGCCAGGACGGACTTTAATTTCCTTGGGTTGAGTGAGCCCAGGTGGATCCTTGGGGCATTCCGTGTCATGGGACGCCAAAGCTCGGCCTACGGGCGGGCACACGCCTTGTTGTGGTCTCGGTTGCTGGGTCATGGTGGGATTTTCTGGTGTGGTGGGGTCACTGGTCACCACTGGGTGACCGCCGCTGCACTGTACCCGTTTTAGGCCTGCTATTATTACTGGGTTTGCTAGATTATTTTTTTTTAACCTACAAAATTTCTTCAAAGAATCCTCTCAGTTGGAAAAGCCCCTGCAGCTCCTCCAGCCCAACCATGACCCGCCCCCCGACCCTCCCCAACTCCCCCAGACCCCTCAGCGCTGGCTCAGCCCGACTCTTCAACCCCCCCAGGGATCCCGGGGACTCCCCCCTGCCCTGGGCAGCCCATTCCAACGCCCAACAGCCCCTTCTGCACAGAAATCCTTCCTCAGAGCCAGCCTGACCCTGCCCTGGGCAGCTTGAGGCCATTCCCTCGGGGCCTGGCGCTGGGGCCTTGGCTCCAGAGACTCATCCCCCCTCTCTGCCCCCTCCTGGCAGGGAGTTGCCGAGGGCCAGGAGGTCTCCCCTCAGCCTCCTCTTCTCCAGACTGAACCCCCCCAGTTCCCCCAGCCGCTCCCCAGCAGACCTGTGCTCCAG